GCCCCGCACAGCCCTGCGTTGGGCAGAGAGGAGCTGGGGATCCTGGGTCCTCCTCCCTTGATAAAGGAGCCTCCCCCGAGCCCCCAGGGCCCTTCTGATGCCCCTGCCCTCCTTGGGGTGTTGCCTAAATGGTATGAATCGAGCTAAACCTCTCCCCCAAAACTCCCTGTTCCCAGGTGCCCGCCCCTGCAAAGGCCCCCATCCGTGGCCATTCTTCAAGGTTCTGCTCGGTTCTTCTCTCAATCTAATTGATCAGGGCTCGCTCCCTCTGCCAGGAGAAGGACTGGGCAAGTGAGGGCCAAGCCAGAGAGAAGAGAGGTGGAGTCAGGGAATACAAAAGCCAGCGACTCCGCCATCTGGCCCACGGCAGTCCCTGGAGACAGCTGCCACCAGCCCCAGGTGTGGGAGGGGAGACCTGGTTTCCCTCCCCAGGGGGCCCTGGGCCCCCAGCAGTGGCCATGTGAGCTGGGAGCCCACGGTGAGTGCCTTGATTCTTGGCCTCAGTGTCACCCTCTGTGAAACAGGACACCACCACCAGCCTCGCGGGCACAGTGTCCAAATGAGATGCCGTAATGTCCATGGCCGTGCCGGGCACATGGCAGGTGCTTGGGAATGGCTGGGGGCATCACTCCAGTCCATGTCACCCACACAGTTGGAGGTGGGCATGGCTGACCGGACCCTCCCCCAAATCTTTCCGGCTTTCCAGCTGTCAGTGATCAACGAGTACATGGGCGTCGCCATGTGTCTGCTGGGGGCAGGGGGCCATGTGAATGTTGGGGTGAACGGAAGAGTCAATCCCCCATGGGCTACAGCCTGCACAGCTGGAGGAGGCCAGCTGCCAGGTCAGCTCTGGGCTCAGACTGTCCTGACCCTTCTTAGCAGAGTGACCACTGGCTGCTGGGATGCACTGAGCCTCAACTCAGACTGAGGCCCGGCCCCTCACGCACGTTCCCTCACTCCAGCCACCCAGCGGCCTCAGCCGGGGGCTGCTATCCCCGCTCTCATTTCACAGAGAAGGAAATCAAGACTCAGAGATGTGAAGTGAACTGCTGAAGGTCACACAGCTCAGGAGAGGCAGAGCTGGGGCTTGAACTCATACCTGGATGACATCAAACTCTGCTCTTACCCACTCAGAGGCTCGGCACCCCAGCCTCCAAAGCCTTGGGCCCTGCCTCCCATGCAGGGGCCCCCCATTAGGACCAGACCATTCTTTCGGGACCCTGCCCAGGTGAGGTCGGAAGGTGAGGCCAGGCTGCTGGGTGCTCAGGGGGACCCAAGTCCAGGTGGAGGGGCAAGAGGAGCCCCACTTCACGTCGGGGAAGGTGAGGCCCAGGGAGGCCAAATGTCTTTGCCCAAATCAAACAGAGGCAGAATTCAGCCTAACTCCAGAGCTGGATTTTAACCACTTTACTCCTCCCCATGACAGGTCAGACACCTCCCCCGGGAAGTCCTCCCTGATGTCTCCACCTTAATCCTGACAGCTCTCACTTCAGACCAGTCAGGGAGCACCGGAGCCGTCAGGCTGGAGACCTCATCTGTCCAGCTCCATGTCCCACTGCCCCCACCCCTCCCCAGACAGTCCCGTAACCATAATCGTAATGAAGCATAGCTCCCTCAAGTGCAGGGAGACTGTCAACGTCTCCTCCACTCCCACTCCTACCCCGGGGAATGGCACTCCTGGAGTTGTGCAGTGCACCGCCTGCCCATCAGCACCCAGTTCAATCCCAGGCACACAGTAGGTGCTTTATCTGCATCCATTCAATAGTTATAAACATGACGGCTGCCGTGGACTGAGGCCTCCCATAATTCTCAACCCTTTCCCTGCATTATTTCATTTAATCCTCGTGCCAGCAATATCGCCAGGCAGGTACCATGTTTATGCCCATTCTAGGCTCAGAGAGGCCAGGCAGCTCTCCCCAGGTGGCAGAGCCGGGAAGCAGCGGCTGGCAGAGCTGCACACTCAGCCCTGGAGCAGGAGGGGGAGAGCAGGTCCCCTCCCGACCCTCCTCGCTGGGCTGGGCTGGGCTGGGCACCGTCCTGGGTGACCTGTGCCATCAGGCCTGACCCTGTCATTAGCTCAGGTGTGAACGCCAGCTCCCACACCTGTCATTAGGAACGAGGGTGACAGGAGCAGCGGGGTTCACACCCTCTCCCGGCCCCCCCCTGTTTCAGCTGCTAAAAGGCTGACAAACAGGGAGGGGCTCTATGGTCACAAACTCGGCACCTGGGCAGCCCAAAGCCCACAACTGCCTGGGTGTGAAGGTCACGACTCCGGCTCCTGGGTCCCTCCAGTGGGGGCGGTGGTGCTGACCCTTTGGGCTCTTCCTACGCACTGGGGGTGTCCTCTCCATTGTCACATTTGCTCCTCCAGCAACCCCGTGCAGGAGATACTTATTCGCACCATCCCTCCTTGCAGACAAGGAAACTGAGGCTCAGAGTGGTTCCCTGACTTGCCCACGGCAGATGTGCAAGGCCAGCATCAGAAGTGAGGCATTCTGCTCCCAGGCCGGAGCTCCTGTCCACCTTGCCCTGCTGAATCTCACTGGCAACCCCACCCGCCCCCAGACAATGGAGAGACCCCAGAGAACTCAAGGGGAAAGAGTCACTTGGGGGTCAGCCAGGTGGCATAGTGGTTAAGTTCGCACGTTCTGCTTTGGTGGCCCAGGGTTTGCCGGTTCTGATCCCGGGCGTGGACCTACACACAACTTATCAAGCCATGCTGTGGTAGGCGTCCCACATATTTAAAAAAATAGAGGAAGATGGGCACAGATGTTAGCTCAGGGCCTATCTTCCTGAAAAAAAAAAAAAGCCACTTAGCGGTCAGTGCCCCCAACCAGTGACCACATCTTAGAGCCACAAGACAGGGCTAGGCACTGGGTAACGCTCAAGAGATTCTTGTTGAGAGAATGAGACAAGAGGTCGTGCCCCACCCCACAATCCAGTCTATAACCTTGGCCCCACCAAGGGGAAAGGCACAGGGATGCACTGGGCTGGCACGACCACGCAGGGCTGTGTGTGCTCGAGGCCACGGAGGGCGGGAGGGGGCATGGGAGGGGTCTCTCACTCCATCCTGGGGAGATTCAGGAAGGCTTCCTGGAGAAGGAGCCCTCTAAGCTGAGATCTGGGATCCATGGCTTCAGGCAAAGGCATTGGGTGGCTGCCTTGGGCCAGGAGTGCAGAGACGGGCAGGACCCCACGTACCCGCCACCCCAGGCCCTGAGAGTCCCCGCAGCCGTAAAGGATGGGAACCCTTCCTTCCTACCCTCTGCGGGGAAGGCCAAGACCCTCTCAGCTTGTCTGGGTTCATTACAACCTCCTGTTAGGTCCAAGCCCTGGCCTTGGGGGACTGGATGCAGGGCGTGGCCTGGCCCATCTCCTGGTGTGTGGGCGTGTGCATGTGTGAAGGACTGGAGGGGCCCCAGTGTGGTGGGGAGAGAACAGAACAGTTCTCTATAGCTGGCACAGAGCATGCGGTTGTGCAATGCCCCAGAGAGCAGCTCCGGGACTGGACGGGACCCCAGCTGGGTTTGAGAGCCAGCTGGACCCAGGCACAGAGGAACAGCATGCAGGGCCCCACCCAATCTCTGGGGTTGTGAAACACTGCAGGAGGCTGTGCTGGGGGGAGACCCAGGAGGGGAAGAAACGCCCAAGGGAGAGACGGGGGTGGGACCACAGGGCAGCCGACTTTTGGAAAAAACTGCAAGTCACAGAAATGCAGGGCCCACACTCCCTCTGCCACCCGTCGGACAGGTCCGCCTGGGCTGGACCACAGGGGCGGGGTGGGAGCCCCAGCCAGAGTCTTCCCCTCGCCTTCCTCTGCGGCCTGGGAGGGGCCGAGGAGCCGCTCCGGGGCAGGCGGGGGCTCCCGGTGAGGGCACCTTGGGGTGGCTACTCCCAGGCAAGTGGGCTGGGCTGTTCGCTGTTCTCCGGCCTGAATGAAGCCCTTTGTCGGGAGAGGCTTGGGCAAGTGCCCCTTGCTAGCCAGGAGCCCCCACCCCATTCTCCCTAGAGGGGGAAAGAGGCAGGGGCCCAAGTCCCCCCCCCCCCCCCCAATCTCAGCATCTCCACGAGGCTCCCCTAAGCTGGTTATTAAGCGAATACATTAGATTTATCTAAACAGACGTGGGCTGCTGTCTCCACGCAAACACATCGAGACATGTCATTCCCTTCCCAGGAACCCTGGGAACCCGCGGCTCAGAGGCGCTGCCGGTTTCGGGGCCAGGGCGGGGGAACTGCGGGGGGGCGGGGGGAGCCACGCCCCTGAGAAATCGCACAGCGAGGAGGAGGACCCGACGCTGCGCGGGGTTGGGGGGAACTCGGGGTGCCTCAGCCTGTGCCCCCGACCGGATCCCGCACCCGCCGGTTGTTCTCGGCGAGGCTCTGGAGCGCAGGATGGCAGGTGCCGGCAAGCGCCGCGGCAGGTGGCGCCACCCCCACCTCTCGCCTCCCCGACGCCAGGAGCGCCGGCGCGCTCTCGGAGAAGCTCCATTTCGCTGCCCCCAGTGCGCCCCTAGACGATGCTTCCTAGGTCCCCGGCCCCCCCCACCCAGCGCTGGGTGTAGCGTCCTCGGGACACGCCACTCCCCGTCCCGGCGGTGCTTCCCGGCCCACGAGAACCCCCGGCGCAAGAGCGACCCTGGGACACGGAGGTCCCTTGTAGCTCCAGCTCAGTTCCCCGCCCTCTAGGCGCACAAGTGAGAGCTCCCTGGGCTCTAGAACTCTCGAGTACCAGATAGCGTCTTTCTCCTCGAGCGCCCCCTGCCCATCCCCACTCCGGCGGGGCTTTCCAGCTCAGGGGCGGCCCTCGGGCCCCGCGTTCCCGCGCGTGGCGCACTCCTGGCTCCGTTCTCCACCCGGGGGGCCTCCCAGGGCCGTGCTCTCCGGGCTCCCTGCAGCCCTCGAGGCCCGACCGTTCCTCCAAGCCCGAGGCGGAGCTTCCCGGCCCAGGGCGCCCCCCAGCGCGCGGGTGTCCCGGGCGCGGCGTGCGGGTGCCTCCTCACCTCCGGGTCTGCACCTTGGGGCTGTATTTGCCTTTGTTTCTCTTCCTGAAGAGCGAGTTCATGGTGGCGTTCGGGGTGCGCGGGTCGCGGCGCCGGGGGGTGGGGAGCACTGGGCGGCGGGCGGGCCCGGCGCGCACCGAAGGCAGGCGGCGGGCGCACGGGACCGGCGGCGGCGCGGGACCCCGAGTGCGGCGCGGCGGCGGCGCCCGGGCACTACTCGCGTGGGGCGGGGCGCCCGCCGGCCCCGGGCTCTCCCGGCCGCTCCCCGAGAAGGTGGTGCTTACCTTCCCGGAGGAGGGGCCACCCGCGGGCGGGGCTGCCAGGCGCGTCCTGCGCGCGCCCTTGGCTCGGCCAGAGCGAGCCGGGCGCCTGGCCTGGGCTGGGGGCGGGGACGCCGGGTCTTGTCGGGATCCCGCCCATCCCCCCCAGCCCGGGCACTCCAGCGTCTGGGCAGGCGGTGGGGACTCACAGGCCGCTTTCCTGTGCACGCTCCGCCCCACAGCCCCCCACCCCCACCCCCACCCCCGGGCCTGGCGCGCCCCCTGGCTGAGTGCCCTCAGTTGGCTCTCTGCTGCTCCGGACGCTCAGCGCTCCGCTCTCGTTGGCTGACACCCAGGTGAGCCCCAGACAGGTGTGGCAGAGACCGGAGGGGTCTCCGTGTCCTGGTGATAGCAGTGTCGAGGGCAATTGAGAAAAGGGGGCTCTGGATGCGCCTTCAAATCCTGCCGCCACGGTCAGCGGACTCCTGCTCGAGGCTTTTTACCGCTCCCAGCCTCAGTCGCTTGATTTGTCACACAGTAATAACAAACACCCCCCTCCCAAAGGGTTGTGAGGAGATTCCTGTCGATAATGTACACAAAGCACTTAGGACAGCGCTGGGCCGAATGTGCAGGAAGCTTTGCTGGCGCGATCATCATGCCGTCTAAGGCGGACCAAAAATCCTTGGAAACTTTCAGAACTCCAGGCCCTGGCATGATAGACATACTTCGTGGCTGGTCATAGAAGCTGCTCGATTCCGGTTCAGAATACCCACAGTCACGATTCTGCCAGCATGTGCCCGGGTTACTCCGACTGTCGCTGTGTGCCAGGGTTCGACCGCGGACCAGTGTGTGCCAGGTTGCACTGCGTGCCAGTGGAGGAGGCTGCAGCTGGACAGACTCTATGCCAGTCTGGCGGCCAGCCTGAGTGGGGCCGGCACAGCTGGGAGGTTTCGGCACCCGGGGGTCTGGGCCCGGCTGGGAAGGATGGGCGCAAGGTCTCCAGGGTAGATGCCAGGAGGCGGCGAGATAAGCTATGGCCACCAGGCCCTTAGGGCTCCGATGGGAGCAACGAGGACTGCAGGAACGCCGGGCTGGGCGTCCAGGCCCCAGACCAGTGCGTCCCCCACCTGCTTGTATTTATAAAATGAGGAGTTTGGCGGGGAAGTTGATTCCCAAGGGCTTCTCCTGAGAACACCCAGTCCCTTTAGGCCATCTCTTCTCCCTGCCACAAGAGGTCTGTGGTTTCAAAGGGTTACAGAGACTCCAGGAGAACCTTATTCTTAATGGGGCATCGGTGGGTGGGCTTGGGGGGGGTCTGTGAATCCACCTGCGGTTGCTTTCAAAATGTGTGTGTCCGCGCATCAATTTTCTGGGGGAGAGTCTGTCTCTTTCAACGGGTACGTTCATTCATTCATTCAACAGACTCTTATTGATACTCTCCCAGCCTTGGTGCCTGGTTCTGCCTCATTGATGAGAAAAGGCCTTCCTCTTGGTGGGGGTAGGAGGGGGAGTGGGGTACATACTACTACTAATAAAAATCAATTGATGACCCTCAAATTAACTTTTCAAAAGGGTCTGGGAACCTAAAAACGATGAAGGCCCCTGAGAAGCACCACATCTCCGAAGGTGTGCATCTGGATCCCCAGGGAGCTTGTGAGAATGCAGATTCCAGGGCCCTGACCCCTCCCCCCCCCCCCGAGCTCCGGACTGGGGAGCATGGGGAGGGGCCCAGGCATCTTTTGGCAAGCCCTCCTGGTGGTCCCGGCCTCTCTGTGAGAAGCCAGGAGCGAGGGATCCTGCCCGCAGCCCCCGGCCCAGGCACTTGGTGGGGGGCCCTGAACACATCTTCCGGCCACACCTAGCCCACTCCTTGCCCTGCGAACTTGGCTCTGCCTGGTTCCTCTCTCGGGCTCTCCTGCAGGCCAGGAGCTCCTCCGGGGCAGCTCAGGGGTGGAGAGATTGCCTCTGTCCTGAAGTGACTTCCCTCTCCAGGTCTGAGTTAGGACGGGAGCTGGAGGGCACCCAGGGACTCGCCTTCCAGCCAGCCGACATTGGGAGCAGGTGTCAGGGAGGAGGCAAGGTCTCAGCACACAGGTGGGGGGGCACCTGGACCTGCAGAAGCCTGGACTCAGCACAGGGCTGAGGACCCCTTCCCAGAGCCCCAAGTGGGCCATGGACCGGGGGCTCGGGAGGGACCTTGCTGGTGCCCACCCCGCAGCTCTGCCTGGAAACCCTTCCTTCCTCTCCCAGTACCGTTCCCTGCAGGGGACTCCCACCTGGGGGCTGAGCCTGTTTGAGGGGGTGTTCCCAGGCAGGTGTGTTGGTGCCGGGGAGGAAGGCTTCTGATGGCCAGCGGGAGCGGGTGGCTAAATAACCCAGGGCCAGCAGCGGTTAAGTCTGCATGCTCTGCTTTGGCGCACGGAGTTCGGTTCGGATCCCAGGTGTGGACATGGCACCGCTTGGCAAGCCATGCTGTGGTAGGCGTCCCACATATAAAGTAGAGGAAGATGGGCACAGATGTTAGCTCAGGGCCAGTCTTCCTCAGCAAAAAGAGGAGGATTAGCAGCAGATGTTAGTTCAGAGCTAATCTTCCTCAAAAAAAATATATGACCCAGGGCAGTCCACGCCGGGGAGATGGTGCAGATGGAAAAGAAGGAGAGGCGGATGGGGAATACCCCTGAGACACGCGTGGAGTCAGGCGCCAGCAGCAAAGTTTGAGGGCGAAAGGAAGAATAAATGCGTGTATAGACACAGAAAACTTCTGGAAGGATCCACAAGCAACTGTTAGCTGTGACTCCTCTCAGGAGGGACAAGAGAGAAATCTGAATTTCCATTGTACACCCTTTTATAATGTTTGGATTTTATTTTTATTTTTTAAAAATTTCTTTTGGGGGCTGGCCTGGTGGCATAGTGGTTGAATTTGCGTGTTCTACTTCGGCAGCCCAGGGTTCACAGGCTCAGATCCTGGGCACAGACCTAGCACTCCTTGTCAAGCCAGGCTGTGGCAGCGTCCTGCATAAATTGGAGGAAGATTGGCAACAGATGTTAGCTCAGTGACAATCTTCCTCACAAAAAAAAAAAAAAAGGCAAAAAAATATTCTTTTGGATTTTATTTTATATGAGCTTGAATTGCCCGTTCAATGGCTTTGCTCAATTTAAAAACCCGTTTACGAGTCTGATGTGCCCTCTTGCCAGTCTTCCTCCTGCCCTTCCTCCGCGCCGCCCCGACTTCATGCCCCTCCGTCAGCATCCCCCACTGTGTGCGAATATCGGCCTTCCTCGTCAGACTTTCTTACTGGACTGGGAGGTACTGGTGGATAAAGATTATGTAAGATATGAAATTTGGGCAAAATAGAACCCATGCTGAGGGAAAGAAGCCGCTCTGCCCTCAAGTTGCTGGGAGTCTAAGAGTAAAGACGCAACTACAGAGGCAACCTGGACAAGTCCGGCAAGAAGGGCGTTGTCAGGGCTCCAACGACAGGGAGGAGGGGGTGCAGCCTGGAGCGACGCGGGCTGGCATCCTCACTCAGTCCCTTCCGGCTGTGTGAACATGGGCAAGTCATTTTGCCTCTCTGAGCCTCGTTTTTCCTCATCTGTGAAATGGGCACAACCGTAGCATCCCCCTCGTGGGGTGAGATCCGGTGTGTCAAGCACTTAGCATGCCGCCTGGCAGTCAGTGGGGGCTCGACAGATGTGGGGGTCGGGCGGTTACATCCGTAACCGGAGGCTCGATGCCTGTGGGGCTGCGGGGTGCAAACAATCACAGGAACTCCACACTGCGTTACAACTCTGGACTTCTCCCAACTTCCAAATTTCCTTTTGCCGCACCTCCTGGGAAGGCAAAGGTCAGCTCTGGGGTGGGGAACGGGACTAGAGATGTCCAAGTGAGGCTTGCAGCCCAGCCGCTGAGTAACAGCCGTGACATTGGTCATATTAATGCCATTGCTCATTTACTGATGTCTGACTCTGTGCCAGGCAATGTGGCAGGTGCCCAACTCCCCTCAGCCGATTCATTCTCCTTGGGACCCTCACTGGGTGCAGCTGGCTGGCGCTCCACTCATGGAAGACACTGCTTTCTGGTCTCATTTTCCAGGGAAGGGCCCTGAGGCCCTGAGAGGCCCGTGCCCGGCTGGGCTGTTTCCCGGGTTAGCCTGCTCCAGCGCCCGAGCTCTGGGACCCCCCACCCGCCTCCACCCTCCCAGGCTCAGGGCAGCTGGGCCAGGTTCCCGCTGACTCAGCTGGGCCCAGCCCAGGAGCTTTGGGGAGAATTAGCAGGTTTAGGGAGGAATTTGAGCTGTGCCTCACCATCTCTCCTCCTTCCACTCTCTAAAAGCTGGGCTCCCGGCTGGCGTGGCTGTGTGTGTGCGTGCACGTGTGGACACACGTGTGCACGACACTCGTCTGCGGGCAGGCCGGATGGGGTGGGAGCCGTGTCCCGGCCCCACGCATCCTCCTCTGGGCAGATGGGGTTTGTTTGGTTCCAAGCAGCCCTCTTTGCCGAGTGACTCATCCACTCCACCGACGTGGGGTGTGGGCGGCGGGGGGTGCTGTCCTGGTTGCTTGACGGTTAACCCCACGGAGACGGCACCTGCAGGGCCAGCCACTTCCCTGGCAACCAGGCCACCCTGGGCCCCTGAACCCTGTCCCCTCTCTACTGTTGGGCCAGTCTGCAGCTCCCAGGAGGCCACAACGTTCCAAGTGTGGCCCACACCCTGCTTGTTTGCTGTCATTGTTCCCCAGGAGCTGGAAGGGCACTGGCAGGCGAGTGCCCGCTGGGGTGTTTCTGTGAACCAGTTTGAAACAAGAAGGGCAGCATTCCCCCAGCCCGGGAGAGGGGTGTGCAGGACCGGAGGCCTGTTCCTTCCCGCAGAGGCTTCTCCTTCCGGCGGGGGGGCCCAGCCTGTCCTCCTGCGGACAGCCATTCTCCCATCTCCAACCGTATGGCTCACCCCCACCTGGGAAGCATTTAAAGAGGGAGATTCCACGGCACCCCCTCTGAGATTATGGTTGGCCCAGG